CATATGAATTAGTTCTATGGGCTTGCTTGTGCTCACAAAATTCTTTACTTTAAAAGATGATCGAGATTGTTTTCCGGTGGCACAAACGGAGCAAATATGATCCAGTGAATATTTTATTTTAGGTAGCCGAACTACCAAATCATTATTTTTGAGTTTATTCATCAACGAAAAACTAGCGTGTCCAAGCCTTTTATGTCATAGTAGGGGATCATTGTCAATAACGCTTAGGCGAGTTAGACTTATGCTTGGCAACAAATCAAGGTCAACCTTATAGGTATTTTCTAGTCTCTTGCCTTCTAGTATGACTTATTGTGATTCGTTATTAACAATGCGACATACATTATGATAAAAAACAACATTGTTACCTCGATCACAAAATTGAGAAATACTTAGCAAAGTAAACTTTAAACCCTTGACTAGAAAAACGTTGTCTATTGCATGGTTAGGCGACTTTCCAACTTTTCCCACGGTGATTATCTCTCCTTTACTGTTGTCTCCAAATGTCACCTTTCCACCGCTAAATTGCTGCAGTGAGAGAAATAAAGATTTATCTCCCGTCATGTGCTTAGAACAACCACTGTCAAGGAACCAGTGATTGTTCCCCCTCACTCGGCGCTGTTCCAGGATTAAGGTTTAGTGCGTTGAACCCAGACCTGCTTGGGTTCCATTTTGTATTGGTTTGAGGAACATTTACTATAATTAAGATTTCTTTCTAAGGCCTTTTGCCGAGAGTGACATTGATACCATAAATGACCGACTTTGCCACAGTACCCGCAAATTCGGCTATCATACGTATCACTGTATTTGGTTTTCCAAGTTCTATAAAAACTTCTGTTATTTTTATAAGATTCTTGGTTAGGCGTTTGTCCATAACCAGTTTTGTGCTTTTCAACCAATTTATCGAACCAGGTTGGTCCAGTTCTAGATTGACTTGGGTATGTCCTAGAACTGGTTTGTCCTCTAGTTTTGTTACCATTAAAGGGTTGGTTCTGAAAATTAGTTTTTTTATTTATTTGGGCTTCCCTTGAAACATATACGAGACCAGCAGTCTCGTTTTCCTTTTTCTTGTACCGAGAGGGTTAAGTTCTAGAATAAGGTCTAGACCTGGTTCTGTTCTTGGTACTATACGGCTGGTATTCCGGTTTATTTTTGAAATCTTGTCTCTCGTCCTCAAGGCGATTAAGGTGTTCAATCAGTACACCAATGTTCGAAAATTTTGAAAGAAGTTTCTCACTATGATTAACTTGTTGGTTCACGCTATCGAGCTTTAAAGAACAAATAATATTATCTTGTTCTAAGACCACTCACTATATTTAAGCTTTTCATCTATTAACTCTCCCACTTTAGTTTCAAGCCTAAGCTTTGCTCGTGTGGTTTCCTTGAGTTTAGATTCAAGCTCAGTGATTCGTGATTTTAGGTACTCATTTTCAGAAAGGTTTTGATTAAGCTCGATAGTTAGACTTTTAAAAATTTTCCAAACTTTGGTTTTAGGCAAGGAATCAAACTTAGATAGAAAGTTTTCTAAATTTACCTCAAAGTTCTCTTGGTCGGATTCCTCATCGGAATTAGCCATAAGACATAAACCCGCATGATTAGAACTCTTCTCTTCTTCTTCCTCCTCATCATCGGATGAGTCTCCCGATACAGCCATCATTGCCTTCTTGAGGTCTCTATTGAATCCTTTGTCTTCACTGGACCTCCGGTACGAACTGGTCTTGTTCTTGTCATAAGTTTTGTCCTTCTTCTTTTGGGGACATTCTTTTTCCCTATGCTCAAAGGAACCACAAACAAAATAGCCTTGGTTATTATAAGATTGAAAGCTCTTTTTACCTTTCTTATTTTTGTTGCCTTTGAATTTCCGGTACATCTTCCCGAATTGTTTGACAAACATGCTCATCTCGTCTTCCGATTCATTTTCAGATTCCTCCTCTTCCTCTCGAGCCTTGAGAGCTATTCCTCTTTCTTTCCTTGCATTCTAGGCATCTTGTTCCTCTTGTAGACCTAACTCATATGTCATGAGTGAACCGGTCAAGTCTTCGAGCGTCATAACGGACAGATCTTTGGCTTCCTCTATTGCCTTTGTTTTTGGCTTCCATGTAGAGGGTAAACTTCTCATAACTTTTCTTACTTGATCTTACACAGAAATAACTTATCCAAGTGCTGAAAGCTCATTTATAACATTAGTAAAATGTGTAATCATATCCCTAATTGACTCCTTAGGCTTCATCACGAATAATTCGTTATTACGCATAAATATGTCAATTTTGGATCTTTTAACACGTGAGGTACCTTCATGCGTAACTTCGAGTAAATCCCACATTTGTTTTGCGGATTTGTATCCTAGAACCCGATTGTGTTCACCCGGACCAAGTCCACAAATCAAATATTTTAATGCTTGGGCATTATACTCGAGTTTACGATAATCATCGATAGTAAATTCAGATTTAGGTTTACGAATAACATTACATTCGTTATCCTTCTCAGTGATGACATAGTCCCCAACCTCAATTACATTCCATACATCATATTTCTCAGCTTTGATGAAGTTCTCCATTCGACTCTTCCAGAATTGATAGAATTTCCCGTTGAACATCGGTGGACGTTGAGTCGAGTACCCTTCTTCCAATCGTTCGACCGTATTTGTATTGCCGTATCTCTTCCCACGGTTTTACCCGTTATGTGGTGAAGACCGGCTCTGATACCAATTCATGAAACGGTTAGTAACACAAGAGGGGGGGGGGGGTGAATTGTGTTTGTGTGGAACCGTGGCAGTTTTTCGCACAGTTCTAGTATGGGTGTAGGGAAATGCAAAATAGTAAGTACACAAGGATTTAACGAGGAAAAATCCATTGGCTCACAGGGATTAAAAAACCTCGACCTCCCTCGGAGCAATTTTGAACAACTTCACTAAATAGCCTTTTTGTGGTTACAAGGTAAATTCTCCTAATCTACCCTTGAGCCACCCCAACTCTATCCTCTCTAGGAAGAGTTATGCATCTCTACCTTGCGGGTAGAGAGCCTCTCAGCTTTAAAACAAAGCTCTCACACACACGATCCCAAATCGAGGAAGCTACTCTTAGCTTTTCCTCGAAAAACCAAGTTACAAGATAAAGAAGGGAAAAGAAACTCTATCTAGAACTTTGTGCGTAGGTTCAGGTGCCTTGGACTTGATAACTATTCGTAAGTCTTTCTCCTTTTGATTACTCTCTCAAACACACCTTCTTGCTCTTGATTCTTCAAATATATATAGGCTACTTGAAGATACCCGTTGTTCCTCCTTTCCTTAGATAGTTGATAGACTTGCCTTGATATTTTTGAATCACCTTCCTTCTATGTGGACTATAATCATTCGGACTTTTTGCATGTGTTAATCAATTCTCGATGCACAATATATATCGTAATATAGAATAGAAGGAAGTAATTAATATATTTAGCTTGTCAAACATGCAACGGTCCATATCATTTATATGGTAATAGAATATTCATTTTAGAGCTATGGACAAACAAAATCATGGGCAATAAAATATTCAAAGATAGATGTGTTGCAGCCAATTTTGCTAAGTGGATCAGTCAACAATCATCGAGATGACAAGTTATTTATACGATCCATGTAATAAGACTACCAAGCTTTTAACGTGAGTGCTTAGTCATGCATATAAGTGTGCCACGTATATTATAATAATATAGATATAGGCACATATCAATTTATTTATCAAGTATGATAATCATTCATATAGAACAGAACTAAGTTCATTCCTCATGGAACGGGTGGTAGTTCTATCCAAAGGTCCACCTGCATGGTTAGTTGAATAATGAATTATTGACATCCGTTTTAGACCAAAGGATAGTTGTTTCTTTTGTTCCAGTTCTCGTTAGTCATCAACAAAACTAAATAATCAACAGAACCCACGAAAGTCAACCCGAACGGTGCAGTGCTGCCCGAACGGCTAATGGGTCACATTTCTACTTCCTTATGTCCCGCTCACGCTCGAAACATCAAAAATGGAGGACTTGTATTGGTATATTGGATCCCGGCCCAGGCACATTCCCAAATATCCCTACAAGGCCCATGCTCAGCAGAGTCCATCAGATAGGGAGCACGTTCAGGAAGGGTCACACAATCCCTTCCGCATGGCCACTGCCGAACGACATAACCACCACACTTGAGTCATTTACTCTTCCATGAGAAGCTAACCACGGAGGATCGGCCCAAGAGAATTGGCGGGAAACCTCATGTTTGGTGAGAAGTGCATTTAATCAAGGATATGGAGGATTTTATGGTGGAGTGATCATCCACTCAGGACCGGCCACGCAGTGGCGGATTTTGCTACTAAATTTTGGGTGTTCAAAAATATTTTACTATTAAAATATTACATAAAAGGTACATACATAAATTCTTAACATGTATTTTTGTATTGAATTTTCAAATGTTTGGGTGTTCATATGAACACCCCTAAACCAAACACATCCGCCACGTCACCCTCCTCAACTACTCATTCATAATATAAACAACAACATTTATTTCATCGTAAGGTTAGAAAATTTATAGTCATAAGCAATATATTTCTCCCTAACTCTTGTATTAGCATTTAGCACTCAGTCTGGTCCGGAGATCACGTTCGGCCATTATTGTGTAATCAACATATTCACTGCAATATAGTTGGCCAGTTGTGTTTTGTTGTTGTTCGTTATCCGCATCCTCTTCATCTTGAGCATGCTTATTATGTTCATAATTATTGTATTAGCATGCTTACATTGAAACACTATGATAAAGAATATACCTATAATTCCGAAAATGTAAAAACATTTTTTGAAACTTTCTAAAAGTCGTATACACTTCATTACTAGAAATTAATAGTCCTTATTGATTTTTAAAACTTTAGCATTTCTGTCAATATATATGTCAAAATATAACATACATTATCTCAAAGAAAAAAAATAACAAAATTTATATAAACACATACATTTACCTATTTTAGGAACACATGAATACATACTTGGTATAGAAAAATATAATAATCTCAAATGCATTACTTTTGAACGATTCAGTTCGTTATATGTAGGATCCGCCCGTATATGATTTTAGTTCGGGATAAAAATGTACAGAAGCTCTTAAGAATTCCGAATATGTTTAAGAAAATTATCCTCTGTTGCGTGGGCTGGCCTTGATATGCTCAAAAGTGTGGGGCTGTTCCATTATCTACCCTGCGGAAATCTTCATCTCCATCCTCTTACTACTACTGTATTGGTAAATAGAAGTGAGTGAGCAGAGAAGGGCGGGTGATGGCGGGCGGGCGGGAAGAAACGATTTTGGTGACCGGAGGGGCGGGGTTCATAGGAACCCACACAGTGGTTCAGCTTCTCAGTGGAGGGTTTACGGTTTGGATGATAGATAATCTGCACAACGCTGTAGAAGAAGCTGTGAGTAGGGTCAGGGACTTGGTTGGACCCCATCTCTCCCTCAATCTTCACTTCCGTCTGGTTTGTACTCTCTCTGCCCCAAATCTATTGTTAGGCGTTCTGTTCTAACAACATTGCAAATCTATTAGAATTTTTTTCTAATACGCACTCTAACCAAAGGCATCAATCACCCCACTCAATTTTTTTTAAAAAAAGGGAAAATTTACCAATTTACCCCATTATCAAATTGTGGAATATTGCCAACTAGTAGTAATCTTATTTTGTTAAGTGGTGGCTATTCAAATAAGGCGGGGCACCTTTTGTACACCCCGTTAAAAAATGTAATAGATGTATACAAAAGGTGTACAAACATTAACTTCCCGTTCAGCTTTTCCAAGGGTGGCACAATATACGGAGTATGTAAATAAATATGTACCTCTAAAAAGTTGGGCCCGGACCTAGCCAACTGTTTGGCCGCGAATCCTATGCAAGATTGTTAAAATTGTATTTTTAGATCGAATCGATATAAGACTTTAAAAATTGAATCTGAGAATCGAATTGTAAATCGTAAGTTTTTACAAAATAATAATTTTCTTAAAAATATTAGATAACCCTCACAACTTCATTTTAATAAATCAAATCATTATAAGTTTGAGGGGAAAAGGGTCATATAGATCCTCGAACTTACATAAAAAGGACAAATAAGTCCTTATATAGGAGGTTCTGTTCGCCCATTGTCATTTGGGGCAATTTTTTGATGAAATTTTTTGAGCATCTTATTAATTAAGTCTATTTTATTCATACCAAATTTCAGCTAAAACTTCAATCGGGAAAGCATTCAAATTAATTCTCGAAGATAATTACGCTTTTATTAGCTCTATTGTATGGTTTGTGTTGACGGATTGGTACTTGATAAAACAAATGCCTTTTAATGAAACTCATGTAGGTTTGGCACCAAAAGATCTCTTTATCTTAAAGGGATTTAAAGCAATTTCCCATCTCTTTATCTTATTACTCCCTCCGGTTCCAAAAGATCTTGACACTTTGACTTCACAGTTTTTAAGGAAATAAACGATGTTTTGCACTATTTGGCACTGTTTGACACTGTTTTGTGTAGATTTATTTTCCAAATAAGGCAAATAAGGCAGATTTATTTGTCTAGATTCATTCTCATTTGTCTCCTGAGAATCCGTTCTTACCAGAACTGCTCCCTATATATATATGTGTGTGTGTGTGTGTGTATATATATATATATATATATATATATATGTATGCATGCATGCACATCAAAACCACATGCATTAGAACCTCATGATGCGTCAAATCCCTCTATGTTATAATTTAGTAATTTCTGTAATCACGAGGGTTAACGCGTAGATTTTGTATATCACGACGGGTTTTGGTGCATTAAACTATATTATAATGTAAAAAAGTCTTCTACTATATAGAACAATACTTTTCAATTTTGATGTTTTTTGGTTGGCCATGTTAAGTAGAGGCTAGACTATAGTTAAATATGGAAACCGAAAAATTAGAAGTGCAGTTACCTTAATACGAAGTATTTTGTTTTAACCCGGAAGGCAAACTACCCACCAGGACTATGTATGTTATCTTTGTGGACGTATCATAATTGAATAATGGTATATATATCTTTATACGTGGAACAGATGGAGTAGTAGTTCGGTATATATTCTATTCATAAGATTTTTAACTTCTTACTTGAGATGCATAATACTTTGTGAGTATGTACTTCTTAGAAAGGCCAGCAGGGGCCGGAGTAGTTGGTAGCCAAATAAGGGTGGTGTGTGTGCTCTGATGGTGTATTAGTTTTCTTGCTTTGCAGGGTGACATCAGAAACAAGGATGATCTGGAAAAAATGTTTTCTGAAACAAAGTATGCAATGCAAACTAACGACATATATATATATATATATATAATCTTTGTTTCCTTTAATGTAATTTGATTCGAGATTTGAAATTGTTTTGGTGATAAATAGGTTCGATGCTGTTGTCCATTTTGCGGGGCTTAAAGCTGTTGGAGAGAGTGTTGCTTATCCCATTCGTTATTTTGATAACAATCTTATTGGATCGATAAACCTATACTCAGTTATGCAAAAATATAATTGTAAGAAGGTTCGCGCGCGTTGATTCTTGATCTCCGGCCCTAAATATAACTAGCACATACTGAGTGATTCATCCATAATTCATATGTAGTCATGAGTGATGGATATAAATAAGTAATGTTATTGCAGCTGGTTTTCTCATCATCAGCAACAGTTTATGGTCAACCCGAGAAGATTCCATGCGTAGAGGATTTCCAATATATGGCTATGAACCCTTACGGTCGAACAAAGGTACCCCCACCACCATTAGTTTGTCTTTAATTTGATTAAAAATATATTCATAGAAAAAGAAAGGTCTTTTTTGTTTAATTTGTTTTTACGTGTGCATGTATGTATGGTGTGGCATGCATGGGTGTGTTGTAACTTCTAGGTGGTCCTTGAAGAGATAGCCCGAGATATTCAAATGGCAGATCCAGAGTGGAGAATGATTTTGCTGAGATATTTCAATCCGGTAGGGGCTCACCCTAGTGGAAGACTTGGGGAAAATCCTAAAGGCATACCCAACAATCTCATGCCTTACATCCAACACGTAGCGCTTGGTCGGTTGCCCGAGCTAAATGTGTATGGTCATGATTATCCCACCCCAGATGGCACTGCTGTAATATTCTCCATTTCTTTCTTTCATTTGCTAATTATATATATATATATATATATATATATATATATATATATATATATATATATAGGGTCCGGTTCCGATGAGAACACTCTTTAACGTGAGAAATGAGAAGACTCTAAAACGGTGCACATTATGATTCTCGAATGTGCACATTTATAGTTATTATAATGAAAAGTTCACATATGCACAGGGGCGGACCCAGGAAAGTCATTTTGGGGGGCGAAAATATTTTGGGGGGGGTTCAAAATACTTTTTGGAAGAGCAAAAATTATTTTTCGTATATATATACACTAAAAAAAAAATTTGTTGGGGGGGGAGGGGGGCGGTAGCCCCCCTGGGTCTCTACTACGGTCCGCCCCTGCATATGCACATTTGTGATTAAACTAATGCACTATTCACATGCAAATTTTCTAATTATGATAGTGCACATTTCGTTTTCACATAATGCACGATACCCAAATCCAACGCTCCAGAATCATTCTCATTTCTCTCTTTATATCATTTCTCATTTGAACCAAATGATGCGTGTGTGTATAGATTAAAGATCACATGAGAACAATGCTTAATGTGAGAACACTCACATTTATCCCAATATGATGCACAACGAGTCTCACTCATTGCACTTTTTCACGTTAAACATAATATTTATCAAAATTTCACCGCAATTATTTAATATTGAGTTAGTATGATCAAAGTTAAAAAGTGCTCAGATGACCTCCATTGTGTATCACATAGTGACATAGGGTTAATTGGGTGTGTTCTCACGTTTTCACGTTAAGCACGATTCTCATTGGAATCACACCATATATATATATATATATATATATATATATATATATATATATATATATATATATATATATATATATATTGTTAAACAAGGAAAAGTGATTTTGGAAGTCATTGAAAGCATATATTCCAAAAATATTGACAATATCACACACACACATATTGACTTCCGAGCACCATATATATATATATATATACAAGAATGTCCAGGTCCGAACGTTCGGACCTGAGGCGCCGTCCAAACACCGCCGTTCGGGCGGTTCCCGGTGGAATATTTTGATGAACTGTTAATGGTATGTTCTTCATCAAGTCTAGTTTATCCATACCAATTTCAGCTCAAAATTCGATCGAGAAGACCTTCAAATGATTTTTGGAAGTTGACTGTGTTTTTCTATGTATAATTTGGTGCAGTCAACTTCAAAAAATCATTTGAAGGCCTTCCCGATCGAACTTTGAGCTGAAATTTGCTATGGATAAACTAGACTTGATTAAGAACATACCATAAAAATTTCATCAAAACATTCCAGCGGGAACCTCCCCGAACGGCGGTGTTTGGACGGTGCCTCCTGTCCAAACGTTCGGACGGTGCCTCCTGTCCGAACGTTCGGACAGGATAAGTTCTCTCGCTCTATACACACACACACACACACACACACACACACACACACATACATACACACACACAACAACAACATCAAAGCCTTAATTCCAAAAGAATTTGGGGTCCTAACATGACTCGATCCATGATATCAATGTCAAAAAGAGAAGAAAGATAAGGGAAAAAAGTAAGATAAAATGGATACGATAAAGAAAAATGTAAGATAACAATAACATACGAATATAAAAAAGATAAAAGAGCATAAAAACATAAGAACATAATTAAGATAAATAAGAACATAATTAAGATAAATGATAAAACAAAAAGAGAGGGAAGATACAAGAGAGATCACCCGCCCACACAAATGTACGCCCTCCACTTTGCTCTCTCCAAAGTCATACTCTCATTCAGACCAAGAAGACGCATATCAGTTCTAATTCCTCTAAGCCAAGTCTGTTTGGGTCTCCCTCTCTTCCCCGCCTCTTCTACCACCTCTCAAGTCGTTTAACAAGTGCATCACTCGGTCTTCAACGCACATGACCAAACCACCGCCGCCAACGAGACTTCTGCATCTTATCTTCTATAGGTGTTACTCCCACATTTTGTGTGATTATCTCATTCATCACGCGGTCTTTTCTGGAATGTCCGCACATCCAATGCAATATACACATCTCTGCCACACTCATCTATTGAATGTGGCATTGTTTCACCCTCAATACTAGGGATGGACCCGGTCCGGTCCGGTTCCGGTTCCGGGCCGGGCGGGTTTTTTTTTGTAGAAATATGGTCCCGGAACCGGCCTGGGGTGATACCGGGTCCGGTCCGGGTCGGGCCTTCCCGGCCGGGTAGTGGGCCGGTTCGGGCTGGGCCCGGGCTATTTAATTTTTTTTGTTTAAATATTAAATTAAGATTACTTGGACATAAAAAATTTAAAATATATTTATTTGAAATATGTAGTGCAATTGAAAATTGAGCAAATATTAAAACATGAAATACACTTTTTAATAAATAAGAATCAATCGAAATTTCTGTCATCTTCGGTTGTTTCTTCCATAAAGTGGCGGGTGGGTTCAATGCTAATTTCTTGAGTTCTACGTTTGGCCTTCAACCAATCGTGGAAGCAAACAAGCGTCTCAAGGGAGTTTGCGCTCAATCTCATTCTATAATCCGTTAGGACGTTGCCGGCCGCACTAAACTCTTGTTCCACAGCAACTATTGATACCGGCATTGCTAGTACTTGCTTAGCCATCTTTGATAAGATCGAGAACGTTCTCTCTTTTTCCTTCCACCACTGAAGAACGTCAAAGTCATCCCCTTCTTCATACTTAACAGGAAATGTTAGATACAAAGAAAGCTCGTTGATCGAGCTTTGTTCATTAACCGGAGTTGATTTACATTTTTTCATAAGATTGTCAAATGCAGATTTCAAAATTGTTTTTCCTTTAGATGAAGAAGATGTTCGTGGCGGGGGAGGGGGTGTGTTACCATATTGTGCATGAAACTCATTAAATAATTGATATAATAAATCACTAACCTCTTGGAATTGTTGTTTAGGATCTATGGTCTTCTCGTCGTACATAGGCAATGGACCAAAAAAAGAAGCATAATAGTAATCTAAACATTGCTCCGATCCAAAGAAGCAAGTCTATAACGAGGATCAAGAATAAATGCAATACTATATATATGCGGAACATAGGAATAATATTTTAAAAACTTTTGTTTCATGAAGTCACAAAAATAACTAACGTAAGCGGCATCAGCAAATTCACAAAAAGCGCCGGCGAGATTAACAGCTTCAACAAAAAATTGGTTTGCGGTACGTTTATAAACATGATTAAAAGTTTGAGTTGCATTATTAAAATACACCAAAACATTCACAACTTTTTCATAAGTGTCGATGTCGGCCGGGTTTATAATATAGTTAGCATATTCTTTTAAAAAAGCAGAAAATGGTTTTTAAATCTAACAAGCACCTTAAATAAGTTATAAATACTATTCCAACGAATAGACAACTCTTTAGGAAAAGCACAATATCTGACACGTCTTTCTTTCAAATAATTTCTCCATTGTATCTTAAGTTGATTACTAGCCCAAATAAGTTTAATCCCCCCCTTCACCACCTCCATAGCATCTCCCAACGTCGTTAGCCCGTCCTTTACACATAAATTTAAAATATGACATGCACAACGCTGATAAAAACACCTACCCAACAAAGAAGATGAACCACACAATTCACGCAATCTAGGAATAACAACAGTATTATTAGTAGCATTATCAAAACCAATAGCAAACACCTTATTAATCAAATTATACTCAATTAAAATGTCTAACAATTTAACAATTAACTAGTTAAACAATTAAACAAACAATTATTGTCTAACAATTTTTAATGTAACTATTTCCAATAAACTAACAACTTACAATTAACTACTTTTATAGCAATGAGCTAATACTAAAATGATAAGTGAAACAATTAACTAGTTTTATGTTAATAAACAATGTATGAGTGTGTAAACTAAATTAATGGGAGTGTGAGAGTGTATAAGCAATTGGATAAGTAGATGATAAGTGTATAAGTAGATATACTTAATATATATATATTTATAAGTAGATAATAAGTAGATTAACTAGTAATATATAATATTATGTTTATAGTATATATAATATAAGTATATTACTATAAGATGAGTAATACACTTATATATAATACTTTAATATATATAAGTATATATTAAGTATATGTAATATATAAATATAAGTAAATAAATTAGAGATAATTATATATATAATATGTAATATGTAAATATAAGTAAATAAATATAAGTAACAATAATATAATAATTAGATATTAATATAAGTAGATAATAATTTTTATAAATATAATATATGTAGTTATAAATTTGAGAAGATGAAGATGGAGAAGATTAGTAGAGAATAGAGATTAGAGAGTAGGAATATTTGGAGAAGATGTGTAATAAATTGTATAGAAAAAATGGAGTATTTATAGATTTTTTGTACCCCCACCCCACCCCACCCCCCAACCCACCCCGAGACCCCCTGGAAGGCTCCCAACGACTATAGAGTCGTTTGGGTTGAATTACAACGGCTATAAGGCCTGTTTGGCTGGCCAAAGATTTTTTTCTTTTTAAAATATAGCCTTTAGGCCCGGATCGGGCCTGAACCGGCCGGGCCGGGTCGCCATTTCGCTGAACCATGCCTGAATCGCACCTACCCCCCAGGCCGGGTCAAAGCCCGCACCGCCCATTAGTTACCCGGGCCAGGACGGTTCCGGGCCGGGCCGGCCCGGTTTGGTCCATCCCTACTCAATACTCTACGCCATACATTAATGCAGGCCTAATTGTTGTACGATAAAATTTAACCTTCACTCTGGTCGACATATCTCGATCGCATAGAAATCCTGATGCACTCTTCCATTTCATCCATCCAGCTTTGGTTCAATGTGATACATCTTCATCTAATTCACCATCCTTTTGAATTATGGAGCCCAAATAATGGAACATATCACACACCGGTACTTCCACCCCCACCAAACATGCACTTCATATACTCAGTCTTGATTTGGCTCAGTCTG